TCCATCCTATTTATACTCAGATAGATCCCCTCCTGCGTCAACTTTCATCTTGGTTACAGCTTCCCGATTCCTTTTGCCAAACTTGTCTTCAGCCCTGGTCTTAGGCATCAGTTTGGTAGTTTGGGGATGTTCAAAACTCCATGGTTGGCTATAGACCATAGGTGAGGGCTAGTTGCAATACAGCTTGTTTTTCCCATTCCTGGCTTGCCCCTTTACTTGCTTGTAAGCATTAAATTGCTGCTGAAAAGGAGGAGATCTCCCGGTTAGAGAAGGGCAGCGTGTGTAAATCCCAGCGGCAGAGCTGCTTGCAAGCCGAGCCGGCAAGGCAATTGCTGGATGGGGCCACAGCGTGAGAGTTATTTTATGCTTCTTGAGGTTGAGAGGTGCTGTATATAATTTAGGATGGGAAATGGACACCATAAAATGATCTTGTCGATTGTAAAGATCTGGGGAGGGAGTCCCATAAACACCTGTTCAAGTCTGCGATGACAGCTGGTGGTGCTTTCGGGGTCAGGCTTCCCTCTGCAGCTGTGCTTACATTCTCGAAGGAGAAACCAGCCTCTTTTCACATCCTTAAGAAATTATTCTCCCTGACTGTTCGTAGAGCAGCAATCAGAAACCATATATGCCGCAAAACCTTTTTTTTAAGAAAGAGAGAGGTTAATGGGATCTCAAAAACAGTATAATATGATCGGCTTGACATCTGGAAAAGAACATAAAATAACTTGTACTGTGAGGAAGATTTTTCATTTTCCATATGTTGTTTCAATTCCTAGGTAATGTGAGGAAGGAGATACCTAATTATTTGACTGATTGCACAACAGTCCAGAGTTTAAAATGCCATTATCAAAGGGATTACAGAAACTTTAACTGTTCCACATGTAAACAGTTTACATAGGCAAATTCTGAAATAAAAATAACATCTTTGCTATTATGTAGCATGACCAATAATACTTCTGAAACTTTGTTTTAAACACTTACTATTTAAATAACCAAAGATAGATATTCATACTAGAAAGATATAGTCATTTCACCCTTATCTTCTCTTTTTGTAACACTTACACTTCTGTGAAGTGAAACTTGAAAACTTTATCTTTATTTAACGTATGATATATACTTTTGTGTGTATAAGAAACTGAAGAATCTGGATGCAAGTGCCGAATCAGCACAGAAATCCGTGTTGTCAGGTTTGTGCTGTGAGTGTTTCAGAAATTCAGTTTTAAGGACTTGATAATTATTGTAGATCTCTGCTGGGACTCCATGAAATTCAGGGGGACTCGTATCAGTATAATCTATCCTACAGAAGACACAGGTTTTTCTAGCTAAATGTATAGGGTGGCAAACCCAAATCTGTGTAAAAGAGGTCGCCACTTTAGAGCCTTTTCCCACCTGGTAGGAAGAATAAACTGTTTCAATACGAGGCACGTTTCAGACCATCTGTGATAGATACCGAAGCACTGTAATTCTGGTGATGAAAATGTCACACTCCTTTCTCTACATAATTAAATGAGTGAAACTTGTGAATTTAGATGAGTCCTGCGTTACAGTAGTCTGGCCCTGAGAGAGTTTTGAACCATATTTAGATATCCTCAGTTCAGCTGAAGCCCAGATGCCTAACGTCCCCTCTCTGGCCTCTGGTGATCCATCCTCTGTGCTGTCCTTTGGCCTTATAAGCCACTTTTCAAAGGCCTTTAGAGGTACCCAGCTTTCTCCTTTGAGTAGATGCAAGGACTTAAATGGAGTGTAGGCTGTCCAAATGTGGTGGTTATGATTGCATTTATGCCATAGGAGCATTTATTCTTATTTTTCTACTCTGAAAGGAAGCATAGGAGGTGTGTAAAGATACAGACATGTATCTATATAGATATATCTACAATTAACTTTTTCTTACTTTTCTAAGATGCTGCTGAAAAGGATGTGGCATCACAGTTTGTCAGCATGTCTTCATTTTTGATAACCTCCTTTTGTTCACTACGTTTTGTACACAAACACGTATCTTGAAGGCTTTTAAGCTCTGATGAGTAAATTGAGCAAAGTCTGCGTAGTTTGACTTAAAATCTTCCCTGTGAGCAGGAAGAGATCGGTATGTTTCCTTGGCCACGTGGCCTTATTTTCTTTTAAAACTGGTAAACAGACCGTTTTCATGTGAGAGGTTCAGCAATCAAGTTCTGAGCTGTTCAGAAATTTTTTTGTTGCATTATTTGATTTTATTTTTGTGATGAACACCTGGATCATTTTCAACAAAGGAAATAAAAATAGTAACAGAGGCAGTTCGCTAACTCCTAAATAGCTCCTGGCAAGTGTACTCACACTTGATTCCTGTAGGGCAGTCCCATTGCACTCGGTGGAGTTGTAGGGTTTGGGGAATAAATGGACATCTCTGTCTTCCTGGGCACTACGTAAATTTGCTTCCCAGGTCTTCTCAGCACGCTGATATTCAAAGGCTGTTTCAAGGTGGCGTGTATCAGGCAGAGAAAGTAAGTAGAGACAAAGAATTCATTACTTCACAGAAATTTTCACATGGGAAAGATTAACGTTAGTCGGTCAGATTAGCATCTACCCACAAAATAATTTAAGGTGAGTCACGGAGCGAGGTGCTGTTCAACGTCGACAGCAAGGGTAGGCAGCGAGCGCCCGGGCAGGCAGCGCTGCCAGCGCCCAACGCAGCTCTCCTGCCGCGGGGAGCAGCGTGGTCCTCTCCTGGGGCCTGGGCTTTCGGACCACCTTCCCCAAAGCATTCGCTGGCAGCTACAAAATGAGCCCCTCGCACTGAGTCAGAGCTGTGACCTGTCTTTGACTGTCATCCAGGCAAGTGAGATAATTACACTGACAATCACGTTATCAAGGAACATCTGAGCTAATACCTTAATTACACAACTTCTTTGAGTTATTTTTGCATTCTCCCTGCAGGCTCATGGAAGTCAGGGCTGTATTTCAAGAGGTGTTTTTGGTTACGGCTGTGTCCTCTAGACGTGTCAAGAAATGGTGAAGTTTACCAGCAAAATATCTGAGTGTGCACACCTAACTTCACTTCACATTTCTGAGCTTTCCTTCACAGCGGTTTCAGTCAAAGACTTTCAACCTGTTCACATGAGGAAGAGCTATTCTTGAATTTGTATGCCTCAATAATTCAATGTGTGGGTGCTTATTCTAATACAAGGGTGCCTTCCTCCAATTTAATGTAACATTTCAGCAAAGAGATCACAGTTTAATAAAAGCTGATGTCCACAAGGTTACGTTTGTTGTCCAGACAAGCCCTTACTATTTTTAAGATGGAAGCGGAGATTCCATAGAGGTGTGTTTTCAGAGCAGGGATGGTATTGCATATAGATGTACACTGCCTCTTTCCAAGCTTTGATGCAGGGTTAAAGCAGAGTGTTTTGATCCCATAAAGTACCCATCTTCAAGTACCATCCCAGAACAGGCCCATTATTTCCCTCTGGAAAAGCAAATCCAAAATTTTTTCTCTAAACAAACATAACTCTTTCAGCGTACAACTTCAGGTTCCAGACCCCTCTTTCGCTCTTTTTGGTGATTATTTTTCCATGTGTGTATTCTTTCACATATGTACTCATTCATTGGTAGTCATGAGAAGTGCTGACAGGAAAAGAAGGACTCTTTTCAGTACCTTTCAAAATTTTTGAAATTTAGATTAGAACTGAAAAAATCCAAACAATTTCAGTAGTTTTGGCAAGACAGAATTAAATCTGAATATTTTCATACTGATAAAAAATGGTCAGCTTTTTACCCTTTTCTTCTTGAAACAGCATCATGACTGAAATAATTTTATACAAATTTTCATCCAAATTAATATACCTTAATGAAATGTTTGGGCATGCAGTTATTTGTACATCCATAAAAGGCAGACCAGCTTGTGAATGCTGACTGGTGTTCCTGCACACACACGCATTTCTAGGGTGGGGTTAAGCTTAAGATTACAGCTCCTAAGTGATCCTTTAGTGAATTAATAAGGTATTGGCTACTTTTACCAGTATCAAAAGACTTGGACATAACATTTGACAATTTTTCTGCTTGGTTACCTCCACTTTAACGAAAGGGGAAAGCTAGAAATCTCTCTAAAAGTGAACGGAGGTCCAAATAGCTACAGAAGTAAATGCCTTCCAGGAACAGCCGGCGCTGCATTATTCTGCAAGGATGCCGCACGATTAATGGTGTCTGCCTGTAGCCTATTCAGCATGAGAAATATATCTATTAGTTAAAAGCCCCCTCTCCCCACCCCAAACCGGGCAGAAACAGCCTAAACCTCAAAGGAGGGCGGCCGGAGGAGGTGCATCTGAGGTGGTGGCGAGCCCTTTCCAGGTGGCTGGGGTGGGAGGGGAGGGAGGGCTGGGTCCCAGCTGCGCGGGGCCACAGGAATTCGGGGTGAGGAGGTTAACGACCCGGCATCGCTGCAGCCGCTCCTCCATTGTACGGTGCCAAAACCCCAGTCGGGGAGCGTCTTTCTTACACACAGCTGCCCCCAAAACCCCAACCCAACCCCAACCCAGCACCTTTTGTCTGAACGGGGCACTTTCCGTGCTAGTTAAGCTGTAGGGCTTCTGGTTCTAGTCGATGTTCATGCAAGAGGTTTGCTTTTTGTGGGGGAGAAAAAAGAAAGAAAAAGTTGTGTTGATGTGAATATTAAGTGAAATTCATTCTCTCTGTAATTTCCCCCGAAAGTTCACGACACCCCAATCATGATAAATTAGGCTTCTTGATTGTTGGGTACAGCCTTTGTTTCTGCAGTTACGTACAGGCAGCACATTGTTAAAGTTGCTCAAGACATTCTTTAAGCTGCTTATCAAGGAGACTTGCCTTCCTGAAGATTTTTAATCAAAAAAATGTTGGGTGCCACCTCAAATTTATCATTTGATACAAAGCTATGATACTTCAACATTTTACGTAAAGATGTGTTTTAAGAGGCTTCAGTATTGGACATAAAGTTTTATTTTTAATTTAATATTAGATCTTAATAATGGCCCACCTTTTATTTTTGACAGGATTATTTTACGGATGAAAACAGAGTACTTAAAAAGGACCCTCAGCAGGATTACCATCTGGAATATGCCATGGAAAACAGCACACATACAATATTGGCTTTTAGCAGGGAACTGCACACTTGTGATACAAATGACAAAAGCATAACGGTAAGAGGCTCTGCCTATATGTAGAGAGATGAAGTAATTAATACAGGCCAAATGTATACGTGGTTATGAAGCTGATTATTAAAATCTCTTTTTAGTAAAAGGACAGAATTAGAGAAATTCGCTTTCCAGAACATCTGTTTGGTCAACTTTATTAACCATGTGAAATACTTGTGCTAGTTTTATTAAGCTCATATATTTTAATTTCAGCTTGCTTTGTCCTTCTACTTTAATGCATTATGTTTTCTAATTTCTAACACACCAGATGAACACAGGATTGAAACAGGTACCGCTGGGCCATCAAGTCCCATATACCACAGTTACAATCATTCAAAAGATGTCAACTTGAGAAACACTTTTTAGGTCTTATGCTAAAACTCTTTCCATGGTAAAATACTTTACATGGTAAATTCTTCTGTGGCCTAGGGACACTGCTGTACTGTTTCCTAAGCATAATTTTAAATTACATGAAGTTGATGACTTCTGTATTGGAAATGACAGATAGGTTAGAGAGATTTGCAAGATTTTCTATGCTTTGGCTTGTTTAATACTCATTTTGCAAGCATTGCTATAGTAGTTCAACCCTATTTTCATTATCTATGTTTTCACAATATATGCAATAATAACAACATGAGGAGCTGAAAGATGCAGGAAGCGAACCACAGCTGTACAAACTGCCAGATTTCCAGGCAGTCAATAGACCTATGGTTTTCGCACCTGCTCCGAATTTCAGTCTAATTTAACATTCTGGGACACTTCAGGATTTATTAGAGTACTTTGTCTCAAGGGTGATTATTGCAATCCGAAAATGGTTTACAGAGAATTGATCTGTGCTGTGGCTGTAGATTGATTTTTAAGACGTAAAACTGTTCTGTAACTGAATGTCTATCTTCCCTAGCATGCGAGGACAGCAGTTCACAGAAGGTATTCACATCTTTACAGAGCTGAGCCTGGAAAATGTTGTGGGGAGAAACCTTCTGATTTCTGGCCAAATAAGTGACCTCTCTAGAAAAACTATTTTCATGCGTTTAGTTGGTTACCTCTTTATGAGTCTGTTCTGCTATTTTTAGATGTGATTTAAATTTGTGACATTAGTGAAGGAATCTATCAGAGAGAGATTCAACTTCTGCGTATCCCCAATGAACGCTCTGGGTATAAAACATTATTAATTTTAAAGACAAAATTGTGTCAGTAGGTGACTGCTCCTCTGGTATACATTGTCATTGTTCAAATACAGCAATACATACATCATACCTATTGTAGGAATTACATGAACTATGTAAGGAAGATATTGTTCCTATTCTTATGGACTTTTTGGTTTGTTTTTTTGTTTGTTTGTTTGTTTGTTTTTCCCAGGAGAGCACGGTGCGGGTAATATGGGCCTACCACCACAAAGACATGGGAGAAGCAGGTCAAAATTACCATGGGTCTAATCGTGGTACAAAGAGTCTACGTTTACTGAATCCTGAGAAAGAAGAAGAAGTCTTATCTGCCTCTTTGCCATACTTTGACTTGACAAACAAAGACGTAAGTTACTCCGGGTTTTGGATTTATATGGAGATGGGGATAAGGTGGCAGCCAAAGCTTTGGGCTTATGCAACAGGGTAATGTGACTTTTATAATATTGTGTTCTTGCCCTTTTTATTAAGACAGGTGCCTGTACCAGACAAGGATACAACATATTGGTGCCAAATGTTTAAGATTCCCGTACAAAATGAAAAGCATCATGTGACAAAGGTGAGTGATTCTGATTGAGCAAATTTAGAGGAGCTCAGATAATGATCAATCTTCAAATCAATTATTGCACTTCCAAAATTTGTTTCACTGCTTACTGGAGTGAAAACAAGACCTCTTGTCTGTCTTCACAAACAAGTGTATGTGTGTGTGTGCCCAGGATCTGATCCTGGTGTGCCCTGCCTCTTTCTTTCTCTTCTCCTATGTCCTCCCTCCCTTAAGAAAATGAGGTTGAAAATTATTTCTGTTCTTAAACGTTTTTGGCAAAGACTAGTAAAATTGTCTAAAAGCATGTTCCATCAGTCTTCTACTTCTATATAGTAATGTCATTAATTTCTTTTAATGGAGAGGAACTTTATATTAAAAAAGAATTAAATGGTGAAGTTTGCTCAAATAAAGGGCCAGGTTCTTATTTGATTCCGATCACCTCTCTTGCGATGACCACAGTGGAGTTATGCCACATTACATCACGTGAGCACAGACTTCGTTATCTTCAACTGTGTAAAAGCCAAATATTATGAAAAAAGAGAAGGATGTTGTAGTTTATTTAGAAATTAATGAAAGTGTGTAAACATCTACCCGAGGTTCAG